ACTACAGTCGGACACCTGCACTACAGTCAGACACCTGCACTACAGTCAGACACCTTCACTACAGTCAGACACCTTCACTACAGTCAGACACTTTCGCTACAGTCAGACACCTGCACTACAGTCAGACACCTGCACTACAGTCAGACACCTGCACTACAGTCAGACACCTTCACTACAGTCAGACACCTTCACTACAGTCAGACACCTGCACTACAGTCAGACACCTGCACTACAGTCAGACACCTTCACTACAGTCAGACACCTGCACTACAGTCAGACACCTTCACTACAGTCAGACACCTGCACTTCAGTCAGACACCTGCACTACAGTCAGACACCTGCACTACAGTCAGACACCTGCACTACAGTCAGACACCTGCACTACAGTCAGACACCTTCACTACAGTCAGACACCTGCACTACAGTCAGACACCTGCACTACAGTCAGACACCTGCACTACAGTCAGACACCTTCACTACAGTCAGACACCTTCACTACAGTCAGACACCTTCACTACAGTCGGACACCTTCACTACAGTCAGACACCTGCACTACAGTCAGACACCTGCACTTCAGTCAGACACCTTCACTACAGTCAGACACCTGCACTTCAGTCAGACACCTGCACTACAGTCAGACACCTGCACTACAGTCAGACACCTGCACTACAGTCAGACACCTGCACTACAGTCAGACACCTGCACTACAGTCAGACACCTGCACTACAGTCAGACACCTGCACTACAGTCAGACACTTTCACTACAGTCGGACACCTTCACTTCAGTCGGACACCTTCACTACAGTCGGACACCTTCACTACAGTCGGACACCTTCACTACAGTCGGACACCTGCACTACAGTCAGACACCTTCACTTCAGTCGGACACCTTCACTTCAGTCGGACACCTTCACTACAGTCGGACACCTTCACTTCAGTCGGACACCTTCACTACAGTCGGACACCTTCACTACAGTCGGACACCTGCACTACAGTCAGACACCTGCACTACCGTCAGACACCTTCACTACAGTCAGACACCTTCACTACAGTCAGACACCTGCACTACCGTCAGACACCTGCACTACCGTCAGACACCTGCACTACAGTCAGACACCTGCACTACAGTCAGACACCTGCACTACAGTCAGACACCTGCACTTCAGTCAGACACCTTCACTACAGTCGGACACCTTCACTACAGTCGGACACCTTCACTACAGTCAGACACCTGCACTACAGTCAGACACCTGCACTACCGTCAGACACCTTCACTACAGTCAGACACCTTCACTACAGTCAGACACCTGCATTTCATTCAGACACCTTCACTACAGTCAGACACCTTCACTACAGTCAGACACCTGCACTACAGTCAGACACCTTCACTACAGTCAGACACCTGCACTTCAGTCAGACACCTGCACTTCAGTCAGACACCTGCACTACAGTCAGACACCTGCACTACAGTCAGACCCCTGCACTACAGTCAGACACCTTCACTACAGTCAGACACCTGCACTACAGTCAGACACCTGCACTTCAGTCAGACACCTGCACTACAGTCAGACACCTTCACTACAGTCAGACACCTTCACTACAGTCAGACACCTTCACTACAGTCGGACACCTTCACTACAGTCAGACACCTGCACTACAGTCAGACACCTTCACTACAGTCAGACACCTGCACTTCAGTCAGACAGACCCCTGCACTACAGTCAGACACCTGCACTACAGTCAGACACCTGCATTTCATTCAGACACCTTCACTACAGTCAGACACCTTCACTACAGTCAGACACCTGCACTACAGTCAGACACCTTCACTACAGTCAGACACCTGCACTTCAGTCAGACACCTGCACTACAGTCAGACACCTGCACTACAGTCAGACACCTGCACTACAGTCAGACACCTTCACTACAGTCAGACACCTGCACTACAGTCAGACACCTGCACTACAGTCAGACACCTGCACTACAGTCAGACACCTGCACTACAGTCAGACACCTGCACTACAGTCAGACACCTTCACTACAGTCAGACACCTGCACTACAGTCAGACACCTGCACTACAGTCAGACACCTGCACTACAGTCAGACACCTGCACTACAGTCAGACACCTTCACTACAGTCAGACACCTTCACTACAGTCAGACACCTTCACTACAGTCAGACACCTGCACTACAGTCAGACACCTGCACTTCAGTCAGACACCTTCACTACAGTCAGACACCTGCACTTCAGTCAGACACCTGCACTACAGTCAGACACCTGCACTACAGTCAGACACCTGCACTACAGTCAGACACCTGCACTACAGTCAGACACCTGCACTACAGTCAGACACCTTCACTACAGTCAGACACCTTCACTACAGTCAGACACTTTCGCTACAGTCAGACACCTGCACTACAGTCAGACACCTGCACTACAGTCAGACACCTGCACTACAGTCAGACACCTTCACTACAGTCAGACACCTGCACTACAG